CACTTCAATTTTTTAAAACAATAAAATGAGAAAGTAGATTTAAAGAACTTTTGAAACCGGAGAATTATAAAGATACAAAATATAGTGGTCCCATCATGAGGAATATTTCATCTGAAAGCAACAGAAAATTCCAACCCAGAATGGCTCAGTGAAATTACTGGCTCCTGTACCTAAACACTGTGGGATGGGCTGCATTAGATGGGATGTTTTCAGCTGTAAGAAAGAGAAAACCACCTCCTCAACCTGGTTAAAACAAGATGATTTATTATTTTACATAAAAGAGGTAGATGGGCTCTGAGTAGGCTATAAGAGCAACTCACCAACATCATCAAGGATCTAGGGTTACTTTACCTCTTTGCTTTGCCATTGTTGGTGTTGTTTTCTTTAGCTGTCAGTAGGCTGGTGATAGAAGTTCCTAGACCACTTGTAGGAAATACAGCATCCAGGGATTGTCTTTTCCTGTGTTTCTTTATTTCACAAAAGCTTCCTGGACACCTTCTCTCATGTCTTACTGGCCAGCATTGGAGCACATACCTACCCCCTCAATCATTGGTTAGGCTAGTTAAGTATTGTGCTTGGGACAAGGGATGTGAATAATTTCCTCCTAAGCACCTGGGAGGGATAGCTATTTGAGGGCTGTGTTAGGAGAAAAAAAGAGCCAGGTGGCTTAGATACTCAAATAAGATAGCAGCTTTATGCTGTATGAGCGAAGTGGAAAGAGTAATTCCACCTGGGCAGTCAAATTTGTGCAGGATCTCAGCAGACAAGAATAGAGGGTGATCGTTTTAGATTTTGGATTGAAGGAGCTGTATGAGTGAGGATAGGGAAGGTCATGATATGTATTGCAGGTTCCTTTTGATTTAGAAGTCAAAGCTTATTACTATATTACAGTTGGCTTTGTGTTCCCTTATGTATGTTCCTCAGTGGAATTTCTACTAGCCTAGGAGTTCCTCATGCCTGGGGACAGTCCTATTCATCTGTGTACACCCAGTGTCCAGCATGGAACCTAGCAAAGAGCAGGTGTTCAGTAGATATTTGATGAGCAGATGAATGAACAAGAACTTTGCAGTACTTAGAATGCAGCATATCACTTTCTTGATCCTCAGTTCAAAATACGAGTGAAGAATCCACCAAAGTGGGTGTGAATTTCTAGACCTTTAAAATCACAGGCTTTGAGACACACTTGTTGGTAGTTGCACATTTGTATTGTGAGAGTTCTAGCTTCTTACTCTCACTTGTAAAACTGAAGAAGATTTAGTTACCTCCCAGACACCATCACATTCCTGTAGGTTTTTCAAGATGACTTCTTATGGAACTTCATTCAGTGAAGGATATAGCTGGGTCCATTCCTTCCTGGAAAAAGAAAAAAAAAAAAGCCTTGTGTGCCAACTTCTGGCTGCTTGCAATGGAATGTTATTCTGTAGGGAGGAAGCACAATGGAAAAAGGTTTCACCTACAGGAAATCTCGTATTTGCTCAGCAATGACGTTTGTGATAAATTGAAAGAAAGGAAACAAAAGAAGAAGCTTAGTAACTGTGAGTTCAATTTGTGTGAGATTCCTTTTTTTGGGGGGAGGGGAATTTTTTCCTCTTTCCTGTTGTGCCATTCTTATATTTAATGCTTTACTGTCTAACTGGTCAATTGATTTTATGTTACTGATGTTTGGGATACCCTGGAAATGATTATGATTGACAAATTCACTTTAAAGAAAGGAGAAATCTGTGTTTCTTTATTCAACTTCCTATCATTTGGAGAAAGGAAGTCAGAAAAGTTGTTTTCTGGCCATACATTCCCCTCTACCCATTCATTGTGATTTTTGTTAGTGGGCTGATTATGCCATTGGTTTTGCAGATAGAACTATTGTTGTCTTAACTATTTTCTTCTGTGAATAATAGTTTTTACTCTAGAAAATACTGGCAAAAGCTTACTACAGTACTTACAAAGCTGGATATATTTTTGCCTCCTCAGGAACACAAGGGGTTAAATTAAAGGCCTGAATGAAAAGAGGAAAGGGTGGGGACAATAGTTTTTTCCCTGTGAACATTCATTATTTTGTACCCAATGACCTTTTCCTTATCACTAGCTCCTTTCACACACCTCTGGGATTTGGATTGAGCTTCATTGACCACTCTGAACCTTCCATTGTGTAGCAAGGAGAACTTTATTTTATGTAACTCTTTAAATTCAGACCTAAAAAGCCATTCAATGAGTAGCAGTTGTACCAGTTTTTGAGCTTCATGATGACTATGGATGCGTTAAAGCCCTGGGTCCCTATGGGAATAAGGAGTGGTGGGAGGAGGCTGAGGGTTGAATGAGGCTAGCAAAATCAGTGGCAAATATTACTTGATAATAAAAAAAAGCTTAAAAATTCCAATTAGTCATTCGTACATAAAATAGCCAAATTAAAATGCCTTCTGGGGGCTGGTGTTGTGGAGTAACAGGTTAAGCCAATGCCCACAATAGATACCAGCATCCCACATGGATACCAGTTCCAGACCCAGCTGTTCCACTTCTGATCCAGCTCCAGACTAATGCTCCTGGGAGAGCAGTGGAAGATGGCCCAAGTGCTTAGACCCCTGACACCCATGTGGGAAACCAGGATGGAGTTCTAGGCTCCTAGTTTTGGCCTGGCCCAGCCTGACCCATGCGGCCACTTGGGGAGTGAACCAGCAGATGGAGGATATCTCTCTGTGTGTCTCTCCCTCGGTGTCTGTAATTCTGCCTTTCAAATAAATAAATAAATCTTAAAGAAAATTTAAAAATAAATCTCTACATAAATTTTTACTGTTCAGTTTCTTTTTCATTCCTTATCTATCATCATGTAAATTTGGGCCAGTTGCTTTAACCTTTCTCTCTCTCTCTCTATATATATATATACACACACACATATTTTAAGGATTTATTTATTTATTTGAAACACACAGTTAGAGGGAGGGAGACACAGAGAGAGGCATCTTTCACTCACTCATTCACGCCCCAAATGACCGCAAAAACTGGGGGTGGTCCAGGCTGAAGCCAGGAGCCTGGAACTCAATCCTTGTCTCCCACATGGTTGACAGGGGCCCAAGTACTTGGGCCGTCTTCTGCTGCTGTCCCATGAACAGTAGTCTGCATCTGGATCAGACGTGGAGGAACTGGAGGCTCAGACTGGTGCTCGTATGGGATGACTGTGTTGCAAGTGGAAGCTTAATTGGCCATAATGCCCACCTCCCCCCTGCCCTGCCAGTTACTTTAATAGACCACAGTCCTCCCATTTTTTTAATTTAAAAGATTGGATTAGTCTTGAATTATGGCCAATTTTTGACTCTAAGCATTTTAATACCTCATTCACTAATTGTTTTTATTTAAAGATTTTTTTTTTTTTTTTTTTGACAGGCAGAGTGGACAGTGAGAGAGAGACAGAGAGAAAGGCCTTCCTTTACCATTGGTTCACCCTCCAATGGCTGCTACGGCCGGTGCACCACGCTGATCCGAAGCCAGGAGCCAGGTGCTTCTCCTGGTCTCCCATGGGGTGCAGGGCCCAAGCACTTGGGCCATCCTCCACTGACTTCCCCGGGTCACAGCGGAGGAGCAACCAGGATAGAATCCGGCGCCCTGACAGGGACTAGAACCTGGTGTGCCGGCGCCGCAGGTGGAGGATTAGCCTGTTGAGCCGCGGCGCTGGCCTATTTAAAGATTTATTTATTTGAAAGTCAGAGTTACACAGAGAGAGAAGAGGGAGGGAGGGAGGGAGAGAGAGAGAGAGAGAGAGAGAGAGAGAGAGAAAGAGAAGTCTTCCATCCATTGGTTCACTCCTAAATTGGCCACAATGGCCAGAGCTACACTGATCCAAAGCCAGGAGCCAGGAGCTTCTTCTGGGTCTTCCATGAGGGTGCAGGGGCTCAAAGACTTGGGCCATCTTCTACTGCTTTCCCAGATTATAGCAGAGAGCTGGGTTGGAAGAGGAGCAGCCGGGACTCGAACTGGTGCCCATATGGGATGCCAGTACTGCAGGTGGCGGCTTTACCCACTATGCCACAGTGCCGACCCCTCACTAATTGTTCTTTTCAAGCCCTATAATGCAAGAGAAATAGAATGTTTTCCTTACTTATTTATTTATTTTTTTTTGACAGGCAGAGTGGACAGTGAGAGAGAGAGACAGAGAGAAAGGTCTTCCTTTGCCGTTGGTTCACCCTCCAATGGCTGCCGCGGCCGGCGCGCTGCAGCCGGCGCACCGCGCTGATCCGATGGCAGGAGCCAGGAGCCAGGTGCTTTTCCTGGTCTCCCATGGGGTGCAGGGCCCAAGCACCTGGGCCATCCTCCACTGCACTCCCTGGCCACAGCAGAGAGCTGGCCTGGAAGAGGGGCAACCGGGACAGAATCCGGTGCCCCGACCGGGACTAGAACCCGGTGTGCCGGCGCCGCTAGGCGGAGGATTAGCCTAGTGAGCCGCGGCGCCGGCCCCTTACTTATAATATGCATCAGTTTTCAGTTATAGGCTTACCTATATGTTCATTGTAGTACGTACATCATGCAGTGTACTTAATATGCAGTGTTTGAACTATACTATAACCTTTGTTTTCAGCTTTGTATATGGCAGATGTCAGTTTAAACAGTTTTGAAGTTGGTAAGACCCAAGCTCACTTGTTTGTGATAAATACCATCAATGTGACCTTAGGCAATTTCCTTAATCTTGCTAGGCCTCAATTTTCTCATCTATAATATGGCATTCACAATGTACTTTACAAAGTTAACTGGAGGATTAAATGAGATAACAGATGTAAATCTCACAAAGCCTGGTCTGTAGGAAGCCCTCAATGCACATTACCTACTACAAGTATGTGCAAATGTGCCTCAGATTCTGTGCAGGCAACAACAGACAAAAACACATTTTGTGATGTTATCTTTGACGCCCTAAATTTAGGGCTACTTCACTCAATAAATATTTATTGACTAGGTTATTAATGGCCAGAATGTCTTCCTGGTGGTAACTGACCTGCAATATTTCTCTCTCTTTGCAGATCTTATATTGCACTTTAAATACACCTAAAATTAACATGGAGAAACTCCTGGGAGGACAATTAGGTCTTGAAGATTTCATATTTGTCCATGTAAAAGGAACAGAAAAAGAAGTGAATGTGTATAAAGCTGAGGATTCACTTGGTCTCACCATCACCGATAATGGTGTTGGTTATGCTTTTATAAAGGTAAGTATTAAAAAATAGCAGGGTGACCTAATTGAGGGTAACATTTAGAAATGAGCTTCAGAGAGGGCTGACTCAGCAGGAATGCATGAGTTGGTAATGTTTCACTTTAATCTAAAAAAAATGTTCAAAGACATCATTGTTGTTTACCCATTCTTTGGATTTTTTCCCCCTCTTTGGTTTAAACTTTTTTTAGAACTTACTGAAAAAGAAAGTCTGGTTGGCCCTGGTGCCTGTTCCTTATCCATGTAAGCTTTTCTAACTCTGTAGCTCTAATATCTACAACCTGCATGCTAGTTTCCGGTGATACAGTGTTACATCCAACTGTCTGACTTTTGGATACATTATATATGTCTTTAAAAATGCTCTTCCAAATTATCTGAGTTGTATCATTCTTTTATTTAAATACAAAGAGAGAAACAGAGCTACAGAAGCAAGAGAAAGAAGCTTGACATAGAAGAACCAAGGAGTGGTAAAGGATAGACATTTCTTAAAAATAATTCTGTTGGGGCCTGCATTATGGCATAGAGGGTAAAGCTATCATCTGTGATGCCGGTGTTCCATATGGATGTCGGTTTAAGTCCTGGCTGTTTCACTTTTGATCCAGATCCCTGCTGATAGCCAGGAGAAAAGCAATGGAAGATGGCCTGTGCTAGCCCTGGCTGTTGTGGCCATTTGGGGCATGAACAAGCAGATGGAAGACCACTCTGTCTGTCTCTCCACTTCTGTCTGGAAGCCTGCTATTCAAACAAACAAATGTATATGTGTGTGTGTGTGTGTGTGTGTGTATAAAGATTTATTTGAAAGGCAAAGTTACAGAGAGTCAGAGGCAGAGGGCAGAGGGCAGAGGCAGAGAGAGATCTTCTGTCTGCTGGTTCACTTCCCAAATGGTCTCAATAGCTGGAGCTGGGCCCATCTGATGCCAGGAGCCAGAAGTTTGTTCCGGGACTCCCATGCGGGTGCAGGGGGCCAAGCACTTGGAATATCTTCCACTGCTTTCCCAGGCCATAGCAGAGAGCTGGATTGGAAGTGGAGCAGCTGAGTCTCGAACTGGCACCCATATGGGATGCCAGCACTGCATATGGCGGCTTTACCTGCTATACCCCAGCACTAGCTCCCCAAAATATTTTTTTTAAAGTAATTCTATTATAAAAAGTACAACCCATTCTCTGTATCTGCAGGGGATTTGTTCCAGGACTCCTTGAATACAGTTATCTATGGACACAATTCTCTCAGGCCACCTGTTTGCATGTAACCTATGGAAGCCTGCTACAGGCTTGAAGTCATTTCTGGGTTACTTGTAATACCCAGTATAATGCAAATGCTTTGTGAATAGTTGTTATAATGTGTTGATTAAAGAATAGTGACAAGAAGAATCTGCACCATGCAATAGGAACACAATTTCTTTTTGAGCGTTTTTTCATCCAATGTTGGTTGAAGCCACAGATGTGGAGCCCATGGGTATAGAGAAGTGAGTGTAGTTATAATGACAGTTGACAACATTTTGAATGTTGACTATGTTTTTGACACTTTGTGTATGTTTGTTTTAATCAGATTATTTATTATGAGATTCACACGTGGACATTATAATATAGAATATGTTGAATCCTGTGGTTTTTAAAAATTTTTAATTAGCGAACAGAAAAACCAAACATAAATAACAATCAATAAATGAAATAATCTACTTGCTGAAAAAGATTCCCTGTTTACTTCCTGCAGTTTCCTACCTTAGTTTTGTTTTCTTACTTAATCCTTGCAATAGTTCTGTTTTGTTGTTATGTATTTTTTCTTCTAAATATTTATTTTATATATTTGAAAGGCAGAGTTACAGAGAGAAAGGGAGAGATGGAGACAAAGACACACACACACACACACACACACACACACATATATATATATATAATCTTTAATCTACTGGTTCACACCTCAAATAGCCACAACTGCTGGGGCTGAGCCAGGTTGAAGCCAGCAGCCTAAACTCCATCCTGGTCTCCCACATGGATGCAGGAGCCCAAGTGCTTGGGCCATCTTCTGCTTTCCCAGCCACATTAGCATCAGGCTGGAGTGGAAGTGGAGCAACTGAGACTTGAACCAGCACTCATATGAGATGCTGGCATTGCGGGTTGCAGCTTAACCTGTTGTACCACAACACCAGGCTGTGTTTTTTCTCTTGAGTTATTTTTATTTGAGGTCTAACATTTTGAAAATATAGCTTAGTGAATGTTTTCATGTTTATATCTATGTAACCATCATCCAGTTCATGGGTAATTGTACTCCTGCCACTCTGAAGGCTCCCTGTGCTCCCTCCCAGTCAATATTCTTTCAAAAGTAGCAGCTATTGTGACTTACTATTTGCTTCTCCTTGAACTTCATATAATTGTACATTATGTACTCTGCTGTTTCTTTTGCTCAATATAATGTCTATGTGATTCATACATTGAGAGATCCTATTAGCAACCCCTGTTTTACAGTTGGAGAAAAAGGATCATTAAGGTAGGTGGATTGTCCAAAGTCATAGAACTGGACAGATTCAGCATTTGAATTGGAGAGGTCTGATTCCAGAGCCAGCATTCCTATGCCTTGAGCTAAGAATTAGTGATGGGATTTATGCAGCACAGCATGCTGTGCCTTTTTTTTTTTTTTTTTTTTTTGGTCTGAATCTTGACTTACTGATGTATTGTCATCATTAAAAAAAAAAAAAGTACAATTCTCTTCTTAGAGTAAATGGTACTTTAACTTCCCACTTGATAGAATGGCTATTTTTAGCTCTGCAAAAGATATGACTGTGCTGAAGATTGAGTGGGTGACCAAATGGAAAATCCGTGAGTTGGGAAAGTCATGTGGGATTATCCAAGGGAAGTTCAGGACATGAGGCACATGCAGCAGTGCCTTTCTAATGTCAGCAGAGACGGGCTTGGAAGTGTTGCAAACTTGTGTGGATTTTTTAGATGTGAGTCTCTGACATTCAGAGCTTGTGTTTCTATTTTTTTTAAATGCCACATCAAGCATGTGCCTGCCTCGGAGTACTAGTCACTAGCCCTGTGGAGACAGACGGTGTGGTTGCAAAGGAGAAGGTGGAGCATAATCCAAACTGCTTGCACAGAGTTCGGTGTTCGAGAGAGCTGCATGTCAAGCTGTGTACATGGTTGATACAAGTTCTTAATTTCAAACTCAAAGAAATTTGTGTTAATAACATGAGGAACTTCCATGTCTCATCTACAAATTTCCAATTTTCACCACTTGCCACTTTTGCTTTATTGTTCTCCATGTATAATCTCTTTTACCTCTTTATTCTTCAGAGTATACTTACTAAGAACAAGACTATTCCCTTATGTAGCTATAGTACAGTTATGAAATTCATAAAGTATAAAGCTGATATAGTACTTTTACATTTATTAATGTAAACCATATTGCAGTTTATCATTTGTCATAATGATGTCCATTTTTTTCCTGCTGGTATAGGTCCGATCCAGGTTCATGCTTTTCACTTAGTCATCACATCTTTCTAGTCTTCTTTAGTCCAGACTAGTTCCTCCGCCTTTTGTAGGATGGCCCTTGATTTGAGTTTTTCTGATGGTTCCTCATATTTGAAACAGATTGTGCAATTTGGGCCGGAAAATTACATGTGATGCTATGACCTTCTCAGTGTATCACATCGAGGGTACCTGATGTTGCTTTGTGTCATGACATGATATTAATTTTTGTCTTTTAACTAAATTAGTGTTCACTAGTATTTTCCACTGCAAAGTTACTAAATATTTTCCTTTTTTTTTGAAAAAAAAAAAAAGAGTTATTTGTTTGAAAGAGAAAGTTACAGAGGGAGGGAGGGAGGAAGGGTGAGAGAGAGAGAGAGAGAGAGAGAGAGAGAAAGAGAGAGATATGTTGTACCTGCTGGTTCACTCCTCGGATGGCCACAATGGCCAGGGCATGTGAAGCCAGGAGGTTGGAACTCCATCTGGGTCTCCCATGTGGGTGGCAGGTGCCAACTACTTGGGCCATCTTTCACTGCTTTCTCAGGCACATTAGCAAGGCACTGTATTGGAAGTGGAGCAGCTGGCACTCAAAGCAGCATTCCTATGGGACGCCAGCATTGCAAGTAGTGGTTTAACCCATTGCAGCCCCAGATATTTTCCTTTTGTAATTAATAAGTACTTATGGTGAGATACTTTGAGATTATAAAAATACTCTGTTACTGGTACCCCAAGGGACTAGCATCTGTTGATGAGTCTTGCCTGAATCAATTTTTCCTATAATTGTTGCAAATGTAGATTTTTTAAATATTATTATTCTTATATATTTCTTAGAAAATATTCTCTTATAAAAAACCCCCTTGTCCTTTATTTTTTATCAGCATGAGCATGATTTCTTTTTTTAATTTTTAAGGATTTATTTATTTATTTGAAAGGCAGAGTTGCAGAGAGGCAGAGACAGAGAGAGGGAGAGAGAGAGGGAGGGAGAGAGAGAGGCCTTTCATCTGCTGGTTCACTCCCCAAATGGCTGCAACAGTTGCAGCTGGGCCAATCTGAAGCCAGGAGCCAGGAGCTTCTTCTGGGTCTCCCACATGGGTGCAGGGGCCCAAGGACTTGGGCTGTCTTCTACTGCTTTCCCAGGCCATAGCAGAGAGCTGGATCAAAAATGGAGCAGCCAGGACTTGAACGGCACCCATATGGGATGCTGGCACTGCAGGTGGTGACTTTACCCCCTAAGCCACAGCTCTAGTCTCCACATGATTTCTTCTTTTACCTAATTGGTTATAGTCTGTTACTGTCATTTATTTTGATGTTCTGATTTTCTGATATTTGGCCTGCAAGCTATCTCCTATGTCCTTTTGTCTTTTTTTTTTTTTTTAAGATTTGGTTATTTATTTTATAGAGTTATGGACAGAGGGAGGAGAGAAAGAGAGAGAGAAAGAGAGAGAGAAAGAGAGAGAGAAAAAGAGAGAGAGAGAAAAAGAGAAAGAGAGAGAAAGAGAGAGAGAGAAAGAGAGAGAGAGAGAAAGAGAG